CAGAATGTAGCCACAAGCAAAACAGCCTCCAGGGGAATCTGGTTCTTGAATGTATGCATTTGTCTCCAAATAATCTTGTTAAATGCAGGTGCTCTCCACCTCCAAGAGCTCGCCCTTTCCATTTATAGTTCAGAGTAATCTCTTCCTTGAAAAAAGAAGAAGAAGAGGAAGAAGAAGAAGAAGAAGAAGAAGAAGAAGAAGAAGAAGAAGAAAAATATTATGTTTTTGAGGAATTCTGTATGGGGGCTAGATAATCATCCAGGGACAAAAATCAGTAAGATGATCTGGTGAAAATATTTTGTTCCTTGTCATTGTGGGAACTGAATGAGGTCATGGGTGTCCTTGGTTCTTTTACCATGAATGTGGCCGTGATCGTATGTGTTGGCTGTGAAACAAGATAGCAAACAGGAAAGCGCATGGAAGGTAATGGAGGTGGCGAAATGTGCACTGGATTGAATCCTTGAATCCCTTGTACCGTGTTGACTAGAATCATAACAGCATCACACACTGCCTACCAGAGCCACACCGCCTGTATGACTGTACCAGGTTGCAATGCGCCAGTTATTAAAATATTAAAATACTTCCCTACTGATAGGTAAATGGCCACTTCCAGAAAGCTCCCCCTCCAGCCCCTCCAGTGTTCATTCAGCTATTCGATACTTTGAATACCACACTTCCACCTGGTTGAGCAGGCATTGTTATCCCAGTCTAGAGATGGGAAAACTGAGCTTCAGCAAGGCTATAAAATGAAGTGTCATAGTTCATCTATTGGGTTAATAATAGAACTAGGACCATAAAATTCATTGGATCCAAACCAGCTTCTCTATTCTGTGGCCGAGGAGACCCAGAGGGTTTGAGGGGGACTTGTCCAAGGCCACGTAATTGGTTGGCAGAGGTCCCATCACAGAGCATATGGAACATGCAGCTATAGGATGTCACCTTCCAGAAGAGGGAACTGCTGTTAGAGAGCAGTGGATGGACCCGGGGCCTCTGTACCTGTCCCCCTGTGTTTGGGGCACTTAGAGCTGTTGGAGTTGCCAGGCTCTGAAGCTCATAAGGGGTGGGAAGAGCTGGACAGTGGGAGCTGATGGGGTGTTTATGGAAAAGCACACAGAGGTAGTAGCAGGGGAGATGGATCCTTTGGAAGTGAGGTAGGAAAAGGGAGTAGATGAGGGACAAGGTGCGACCTGAGCTGGTCAGGCAGTAGATGAGGAAAGAACAAACATTTGTTGAATGTTTGCTGTCTCTGTGTCAGGCACTTTATATGTGGTAGTTCATGGAACACCTCCCCACCAAAAACCCTTTGGAGGAGGAGATTTTAATCCCCACTTTCAGTTAAGCCAAGCAATGACTAGAGCCCTTGCAAGATTCTGAAATTAGCAGGAAGAAGATAGCCTTGCATTCAGAGATCAGTGGCTCCCCAGCCAGGTTCTTCCGGTTAAGGACTCTCAGAGGTGATTGCCTGAGCCCCAGGCTGCCGTAGAGGTGCTGGGAAGTCAGGTCTGGAGACACGGTCAGAGAAACAGGGAGGTTTCCCTGCACCTTCCCACGAGCAAGAGGTGGTTTTGTACCTGAGATCTCAGCGTGAGGCAGGTCAGGATCTGAGGAGCTGGGATGGGAGGAAGGGGCAGTGTGGTGGCAATGGTCCCTTCATGCCTTGCTGCCTAGGGAAAAATTGCCATTTTACATCTCAATTAGGAGGGACACCGGGGTCAATCGCCAGTACCACCAGAGGAAAATGGGCCCAGCCCAGCCCTGGGCCTCTCCAATTATTATTAATGAACTTACTCTCAGACCTGCCAACCTTTTTATATGCAAACTAGGCCTTTATGGGGCCACTGGCAATCAGGACTCATTAAAGAACGTGTGCCAAGCCTCAGAGAGAATCTTCCAGAGGAAGAGAGGCTTATGCTTCTACCCACATCCTATCACACCCACTAGAAGCAGCCCAGCCGGAGGCCAAGTCCCAGCCCCCACAGGAGGGTGTTGCAGCTCCCCTGTCCTGCTATGCTCGGGGAGATCCTTCCGGACCCGCCACCCCATCCTGAGGGGGTCCGGCCCACCAGTAGGAACTTGCCTCTTTCATTAAGGGTAGGAAAGATAGTGGGTTGGCATTCAACTTCAGCTGCCAGCATGTCTGCTGATACTGAGCCATTATTTGTCCTCTCCCTGCCTTGATTTCCCCTTTGCAAAGTAGAAGGGATCCATTAGGTTGGTCCAGAGGACTCTCAGATTCGAGACACTTTCTGAACATCGTTCAAGGGCAGCAACATTTTGCTGTAGGAGACGGAAGTGAGAGATCCAGGACTTCTCTTACTCCAAATGCAACCATATGCAGACATGGATGCAGCAGGAGGGAAGGTCAGGCTTGTGCTTGCTTTAGGGAGAGGAGAGCTGCCCAGGGCCTCAGGTAAAGGGAGGAGCGGAGTCAGGACCCTCTGGCTAGAAACTCCCTGCTTTTCGTGGATCTTCTCTCTTGATCCTCCGCCATCACACACCTCCTGCCCCAGTCCTGAGCTTCATCCTAGTCACTATATCATTCCTGTCTTCTACGTGTCCTGTGTTCTCATCTTGCTGGGGTGGGGGGACACAGAATGGAGCTTCTAAGACTCTCTCCATGTGGGACCTCCAGGTCCCTGGAGACCATGCACTTTAGAGCCTTAGGACCACATGCCAGGTTCACTGCTCCGCTCCTTCTCCCCTCCTGCTGGCCTGCCTCCTGCTGCTCCTCTGTGTTTTCACTGATTTTTAATCATGGAAAAATACACACATAAAACTTACCATCTTAGCCAGTTTCAAGTGCAGATCTGTGGCATTAAGTACATTCACACTGTTGTGCAACCATCCCCACCATCCGTCTCTGGAACATTTTCACCTTCCCCAACCGAACGAAACCCTGTCCCCCTGAAACGCTAACTCCCCATTTCCCCTCCCCCAGAAAGCACCATTCTGTCTCTATGAATTTGATTATTCTAGGTGCTTCATATGAGTGGAATCATGTGATATCTGTCCTATTGTGACTGGTTTATTTCACTTAGTATAACATTTTCAAGATTCACACCTGTTGTGTGTTAAAATTTGCTTCCTTTTGGGGGGGCCTGGGTGGCTCAGTTCGGTCAGCATCTGACTCTTGATTTCGACTCAGGTCATGATCCCAGGGTCATGGGATCGAGCCCTGTGTCAGGCTCCACGCTGATTGTGGAACCTGCTTAAGATTTTCTTTCTGCCTCTGCCCCTCTCCCCTCCTAGCAAGTGCTCTCTCTCTCTCTCTCTCCCTAATAATAATAATAATAATAATAATAATAATAATAATAAAATTTTTTCTTCCTTTTAAGATGGAATCCTATTCCATTGTAAGTATATATCACATGTTGTTTATCCATTCATCCACTCATGGACACTTGAGCTACTTCCACCTATTGGCTGTTGTGAATAATGTTACTACGAACATGAGTGAGCAAGCATCTGTTCTAGTCTCTGCTCTCAACTCTTTTGGGTATATATCCAGAAGTGGGCTTGCCTGATCTGCTGCTCCTCTCCTACCTGCCTTTTAAAATAAAGGTATGGGCAGCCTGAAGGAGAGAGGGGGTTAGTTTCATGGGCCTGGGACACTTGCTCCTCTCTGGTCAGGCTCCATGGTAATCAAGAAGGACGGAGGTGAGACCACCCCAAATCATGGAATCAGGACTGGTAAGAGCTGAATGGGTGGTTGGAGCCCATCGGATCGAGACATAAGGAAGTTGAGTCTCCAAGTGGGGATGTGATGTATTCAGGGTTCCATAGCTGTCCAGAAGCTCAGGAGGCACTAGAGTGTGGGTCTTCTCCCTCCTAGCTTTCAGTGACAGAAGGGGTTCATGTTTGCCTTCAGACCCAGGAGGGACAGCTGCCAGTTGCCTGATTGCCTGCAACCCCTCCAGTCTGCTGTTCTGCCTCAACCTCCTTTCTGCCTCAGTCTGCTGAGGAGGAGTGCTGGGGTCAGGAACCAGCAGCCTCTGCTGAGGGCAGCATCCTCAGGAAGGATGTGTATACCGTGCTTTTAAGCCATCTGTCTCAGCATGCGCCGAACAGTGCCACAGCAGTAGTCTGGGGGATGGTCTGTCTGGGGGACCCAGGCCCTGCTTGTGTCCTCACTCCTGCCCATGCCGATCAGGCCTGGCATACTGACTCTCTTCTACTCGGCTCCTCAGAATCCAGCCACACGCCAGCCCCCACCTCTGCAAAGAGGACAGAACACCCACACTCCGTATTTGACCCATTCCCCGCCTCCCAGCCCTTCCTGGACAGAGCTGATTGCCTCAGGGAAAAGGGCCCAGTCATTTCCTCCCTCCCCCCAAGGCCCAACGGACCCCACTCAGCCTGAGGAATGAGTGTGTTCATTGCTAGCATCCCAGGGGTTCTCCCTGTGTATCTTCTCTGAGGGTCATTTCCTTGGGGTCAGGCCAACCTCAGAGGGCAGTCAGAAGCTTCTGGATCTTAAAAGGCCTCTGGGCCTCATTCCAGAACATTCCCAATTGCCAGACTCAGCCACGTATGGAAGACCCTCCTGGCCCCCCCCTGCTGTGGTCCAGACTCACATTCCAGAGCTGGGGCCCACAGCTCACTTGTGGAGGGTCTCTCTGTCCCAACTCTTGGCAGCCTAGGACTGAAGCCCGAAGTGCGACCCGGGACACCCAGCAGCTGAGTGTGTCTCCGCTAGGGTCGGAGGGGTGCTGGGAAGAGGCAACCAGGAGTGTCAGAGTCTGGAGGGCATTAAATTGAAAACTGAAGAGGGCAGGAGACAACCTCAGTGAGAAGTGGCCTCCAGGAGGTGACTGTAGAGTCTGGGATTTCTTGGACCATTCCCTCCCATACAGAGGCTGAAGATGGGCCCCAGTGCCTTGAACCTTCTGTGGGTGTGTCCGAGGGAGGGTGGAGCAGGGCAAACATCGGGGCTGTGTCCGGAGAGACCCCTGCACCTTTGGCTTCCCGCTCCCCAGCCTGAGCTGTGCTGTCTGTTCCAGGACTGCCCCCAGCTGCTGCGAGTGGACAAGATCCTGGTACCCGTGGAGGTGATCAAGCCAATCACTCTCAAGGCCAAGAACCTTCCCCAGCCACAGTCTGGGCAGCGCGGGTATGAATGCATCCTCAACATCCAGGGCAGCGAGCAGAGGGTGCCCGCCCTACGCTTCAACAGCTCCAGCGTGCAGTGCCAGAACACCTCTGTGAGTGCCCCTAGCCCTGCCACTCCCGGGCCGCCTGAGCCCCCCTCGTGCACCCCCAAATCAGCTCAGCTCTGCAGGGCTTCCCCAAACACCCACAAAATGAGCTCCCTGCCTCACTGCTTCCCCCACCCTTGCTTGCCCGGCCCAGCCTCTTACGCCCACCCCGGCGGAGTGCTAGGCTCTGAGGTCTGTCTGCCCATGGTTATGGTAAAGAGGGTCCTCTGTCAAAGGCAGGGGCCGCGGTGGCAGGGGATTATGGACCAGCCATGGGGCTGCTGAGTGCTGTCCGTGGGCAGAGAGAGGTGTTTGCACGGTGTGTTCGGCTCTGGGAACATCCGTGTCCATCCTCCTTCCAGAGACCATCTCTGGAGTCCCTGGGCCCTGTCCTCCCACCGGGGCTGACCCGGGGGCCTCATCTGAGCCGGCAGAGGCCCGCTGCTCCCTTCGTATCTGCACAGAGGCCATTTCCCAGCAAGACAGACCCAACACCTGCAAAGGGAGCGGTGGAACAGGATGGAGCTAGCCAGGGGGGTGCTGCTTGGATCAGCACAAACCTGCCCGGGGCTTAGAACATCCACATCAAGCCCATGCCCGACCAAAGACAGGTCAGCAGCCCCTGCATCACCTTTCCTGAGTGGCTGCTCCCCTGCCGACCGTGTGGTCTCCCCAGCCACTGCTCTGTTCTCTCTCTCATCCTCTTTCTGGGCCACCTCTATGCACCCAGACCGCTCAGAGACAAACATTAGGCTTATAGACTCATAACATGTTCAAGCTGTAGGAAACCTTAATATTCTTCCTCACTGTGCGAATGAAAACCTGGAGGCCCAGAAGCAGGGGCAGGTCTAGATTCGTGGGGCTGAAACTTACACAATCTGGGGGACCCTCTTTTATGAATAAAATGTAATAAATACAAAATTTGATATATAGGCAGGCCTGAGAAGGGGCTGAAGTTCCATGCGCCTCAGGGTAACCCACCCTGGCCCAGAAAAAGTTCGAAATGTCTAAGGTCACATGGCTAGGGAGGGGCGGGGCTGGGCCTGGATTCAGGGTCTCCTATGTCACACTGCCTCCCATTCATCCTTCATGTTGCTGCGGGGTGCTTATATGTGGTGACTGTATTTAGGGATGTGATATGGGACCAGGAGAGTCCTGAACAAAGCAGCTCACGGAAAATCTCTACGCGTAAGTGGAGGTCAGAGAGGCCCACATGCTTGCCCAAGGTCGCTCAGCATTACAGGGACTGAACTGGCAATTAATGTCCCAACCCCTGAAACCCCAGATGTGTCCCCACAGCTCCCACAGGTACATCTCCCTCCTGTCCTGGTGGCCAGGCTGTTTGGCAGATTTCTGCAGCATTCCAGATTAAACCCACAAGCAAATGGGATATTAAACACCTCCTGTTTCCTCATAAATCCTGAAGCCAACCAGACCAGCCCCAAGGGTTTGACTCAAGTGATTCTCCCCTAAATAAGCAAGTTCCTGTGGGAAGAAAAAGCCTGAGCTCCACATGTGAGTCAGCAGAAGGCAGATAGGGGTTTAAACGATGTAGAAAAGTCTGTTTCATCAGAGACACTGCCCCAGGGAACCTGGCCCAAGAGGGAGGACAGAGTCTGTGGCCTCTGATGATGGAGAGCTCTTGTTCCCCAGACACAAGACTGGGCCTCATGGCCCCGGGCTTTATCTGGCTCAGTTAAACAGACGAGGGCACCCCATATAGCAGCCTGAGTTCATCCTATAAACTCCTTGGTCAGAACTCACTGCCTCGGGACCCACTGCCTTTCTACGAATGGCCCTCAGCACTCCTGAGCCAGGCCTGACTCACTGAACGAGCCCCCTAGGGGTCACATTGCCCTGACTGTGGGGGCAAAGTTGGAGCCTCCTGAGAACACAGAATGGAGCCCAGCATCCCTGACAGGTGGGGCGGGTCCCTCGTCTGGGGTGCCTCCGCAGGGTGCCTCTCCTGACATCCTGGTCAGTACCATAGGGACAAGGGGGAGGTGCTGCTGGACATCTGCTTGTCTGACGTTGAATCCTGGGGATTGACAAAATCTGCTGGTCACACACAGCTCCTTACTTGGGGATTTCATGATTTCGAAGCCTGATGCCCCAGGACACAACGGTCAGATCTGCTTTCAGCCCTGAGAGGCCCCAGGCCCCCCATAGGGGTCTTGCCCAGCTGGCTGGCTTCCTGAGTGCAGGGGCTCAGGCAAGTTCAGATCCACTTCCAGGAGACTTCTCGTATCAGCAGGACCACAGTAGACACATGACATTGGGGCTGGAGGCCTGCGGCCCCAGGCTCTGACCACCAACGAGAGGACATGATTCCCAGGCTCCCTGCACATCCCCCTGCCGTCCCTGCAGGACCCTGAACTCTGGCCCTTGGAGCTAGGAATCTGTCTGAGGTCTCCCACCTGCCATGGGCTGGTTTACAGTATCTTACTAAGGTTGCTGCTCCCAAAACAGCTCAGCCTCTCTTATTTCAACACCCTCATGAGGAAGGTGATGGGGAAGTTTGTTTCTGTACCATTTTAAAGTCTTAGAATGTGAGGAGACAGGAGGTATACCCCACAAAGGGTAGATTCCAGGAAAAGTTCCCTGTATCTACCAGAACCTGCTGGAATATCATGCACTTCAGGAGGGCTCAGCCCTGGCTCTTCCCAGGAGCCTCTCTTTTTCAAGGATCTCAGTTTAAATGCAGTTCTTGGCCAGGATACCACTTGCCATCAAGTGACGTCCTTAAAAAACTTTGGGGTCATAATCAGCCGCAAGCCTCTGTTACCATAGTTATAGAGGACAACATATTACCAGAGCAGGAATAGACTTGAGAGGGTGTCTGCTTGTGATCTGTAACAGAGGGGAATCTCTGCAGCCCAGAGAGGGCATGTGACCAGCCCCAGGTCACACAGCAAGTAAATAGCAAATTCAGAAGTTCAACCCAGCTTCATAACACACACCCCCACCAATCAAAGGTTGGGCAAAAAATAGCAACTGAGCACTTTATACCCAGCCTTGGTGCTATCCTTGGGAACAAGGTCTGATGTGCCTCAGACAGGACTGTGGGAGGAGTTTTGTTGTTTCACTTCTTCAATCCCTGAGCTTTCTGGAATGAAGGGGGGCCACTGGAGAAATCCAACAAAACCCCCGAGTTTGTGATGACAGAGGAAGAGGGGTGAAAGAGATCTCAGAGGAAAGCAGAGAAGGAAAAGAGACACAGGAAAACTCCACATGGGTGGGATACTAGGCTGGGTGGGCAGGCAGTTCGTCTCCAGGCCACATTTTGGGGACAGGCCCTGGGCCATTGCTGGAGCCCTTGGTGCGGGGGAGGGGGGGCAGCAGTGGCTGTAGGAGGAAAACAGGGCAGCTCACAGGCAGCAGTTGGAGGGAGGAACAACTGTGGGTATTCTTGGCCTCCTTTAGACCAAGGCTCCAGGGAAATGACAAGTGCTTCTAATAATAGTGCCCAGTCCCCGCCTCTCAGGCACCAGCAATCACAGGAGCAAGGGGGCCGCAGGGGGCAGCCAGCTCCATCCCCCCCAGCCTCCACCAACCCACAGCAGCGGCCCATCTCCTCTCCGTGTCCCAGTTTACTAGGTGCAGAACAAGGATGGGGAGGTAACTTGGCCCCCTCCCTGCTTTATTGGAACACAGCTGGGAAGGGGTCTGCTGAGCCATTGGGGGTCCTGGGGATGGTCTCGGAGGATACACAAGCTTCTTCCGTTGTTCAGATCTGTCCGCCCGAGTGGTAGAATTTTCCAGCACAACATCTCAGAGCTCAGAACAGGGAATGGTTAGTGGAAAGAATGTCCAAATTAAATAGGTCTTGTCTTTGCTTGACAAGGTAGAGGCTCACCCTTTCCCGAGGTAATGAACAACATCATCCCCTAGCTGGGCTGTGATGTGCCAGACCTTGATTGAGACACTTAACCTCCTGGCCCCTGAGAGCCTGAAACATTCTCCCCTTAGTTCTGGGTTTTGTGCAGATTAACTGCCCGCTGATTGCGGAGAGCTATATAAATGCTAAATGAAGCAGAGGTGGGGGTTCCTGGGGGATGGGAGCCAGTGGTCCAGGCTCCCCAGCTGTCGGCCCCCTCCTGCTGCAGGACGCAGGTCATGGGGAAAAAACTTCCAGGAATGACAGTGACTTCCCTAGAGAGGGAGGAGGTGGTGGGGAGCACCAGGGGTTAATGGCTTCTATAATATTTCATAGTCAAGATCCCAGGAATGGGCGATAAAAAGATAAAGCAATGCCAAGCATATTTGATCCTTGAAGTCTTGTATTTTCGATTTTCCTTGAAAATTAAATGCGTGCAAACACACACATGCACTCCAAAACACATAAGCATGCTCATGTGCGTTCATCCCATATGTACCAAGAGTCTGGTGCATAAACACTCAATAAATGCCTGCTATTATTACTTCACATAAACACAAACACAGGGAACACAAGCATATTTTTGGACGGCATCCCCAAATGTATATGCGTAGACTAAACACACAGTCATATTTGAGTGCTCATTCCTTGTGACAGGCACTGTGCTCAGCGCATTGGATGGTTATCTTGAACCCTCAAAAGAGTCCTGTTGGGTCTGCACTGTTCATAATTCCCACGTCACAGATGGGGAAACTGAGACTTACATCATTTGCTCACAGTCACACAGGCAGTCACTGCAGAACCCCTCTGTTGCGGTATGTGCCCGTATGTGTGTGCATGCGTGTGTGAACACGCAGGTAACATAGATTTGTGCTGGGAGCTCTTCTCAAGTCAGCTGCATGTGAATACGTGTGTGCACACAAACACACATGCATACGTACGCAGAATCTCTGGGGGATTTCCGGGCCTTTCTGAGAGAGGCCTGAAGGTTCTATTGATCTTTGGTTGATGGGACCCCTGGTCACCACCTGCTGCTTCCACATTGAATCCTGGCCAGACCCAGGCCTGAGAAGCAGGAGCCAGGCTTGGATCCTGACTTAGGCACCACCAGCATCCCTCCTGGAGGTAGAGGCAGAACAGCCTCAAGCCAGCCCTTAGAACCTTCCCTTAGCAGTCTTCCTGCACTGGGGCCTTGGAGGAGGGAGATGGAAATAGGGATGGGAAGGAGAGGAAGTGGAGCTTGGCTAGGGGAGGGAGTGGGAGGGAGATCTGGAAAAGTCTGTCCCTCTCCCCTTCCTTCCCTCCTCTCCCCCGCCCTGTCTCTTGCTCCTGCAACATCTCTCCACCCTCAGGCCGCTGTCCCCTGCTTCTAGCAGACCACAGGGAGTGTGAGTGGTGAGTCTCTAACTCCCCGAAGTGCTGGAGTCACAGAGTTGCCTGTTTGAAATGCATTCCCATCTTCCAATCCAGCAGGTGTAGGGAGAGGCCCTGGGATCCGTGGTTAGGCCCCCTGAGTGATTCTGAAGACTGTGGCCCACAGACCACCCTGAGAACCACCAGTCTAGAGAGGAAGAAGTTTTGTGAGAAAGCTCAGGATGACTTAGAAGGACTCAGTCTGACCCAGAAGCAAAGAACATCATCTCTGGGGAGTTGATCAACTGCACTACAGGGCAAAGGGCTTATGAGTCACCAGCTGAGCTGAGCGATCATGAAAGTCCCTGTGGTTGTTTCTTCAGGGCTGGGGAGCTTTGCTTTATTCTACGGCTTGAGCCCAGACCCTGGTGTCGCGGGTCACAAGGGAGATTCTATGAGAGAGTGGATGGTACAGAGCAAACCACCACCACTGTGGGGCAAACACTGAATGTGGCTCCCTGGTCTGGGCACGTGTCTCCAGGGAGTTAGTGAAAAATTTGGGAGTACTAGGGTAGAGCCTGAAGAAGGCTAGACAACCATCCCACTGATGTTGTGTATGAGGATAGTGTCATGACGTATTCACACTGGAGCACATTCTCAGCAATAACTCAGGAATTTAGGGCGATTTCCCAGGTTAGGATTGTAACATCTCCTCTAGAAGTCTCTATGGATAGGCTCCAGAGGCAGAGGCACCATCTCAAGCCCTGAGACCCTCCACAGGCTGTGCGTTCCCAAGGTTCTGTAGCCTCTTAGTGAGAAGCTAGCAGCTCGCTTGCTCTGGGGAGGGGGCACCAGCTACCTCCATAATATCCATCAACACCCCCACGCCCCAGCCCCTCCAAACTTCAACTGAGTTGAAAGAGCCTTTGGCTCTGCAAACATCACTTCCGGCCAGGTCTCTTGGACTGACCCCCTCTAGCAAATTGCCAGCTCCCAGCCCCTCCTCTGCAGAAAACCTATCTCTGTTCCATTCCTCCATTCACCCCCTGTGGAGGGCAGAGTCTGGTGGAATGATGAGAAAATCACCAGGTACAGATTGGAAATGCTGCCCTGGGCAGGCTCCGATTCCCTGCCACCTACCTCCTTCTCTGGGGATTGAGAAGTGTCTGCTGTCAGAAGGCAGATGTGGGGGGGGCTGGCACTCCCTGTTCCCTCCCTGCCCTGCCCCAGCACTCAGTCCCAAGGATGAGACCCAGCCAGGTGGGGCACTGACTCCGAAGAGAGCTGGGCAGGGACCCTGTCCAGGCCTAGAGGTAGCTCCCGCATGGGCAGCCACAGAGCTGGGGCCTGGCCTCTCTGAGCCAGTGCATGCCTTTGGAGTCTTGACCCAAATTCCCAGGTTTGGTCCCTAGGGTGTCCACAGGATTTCCCACCTCACCTCTAAGCCACATCCAGCTCTCCTGACTCCTAACCTCCATCAGCTCAGCCCCTGAAGAGTACGGCCCCTTCATTTCTAGTGCCTGCACCCACTACCCCTGCCTGGAAATTGATCAGCCCTCTCTAGGTCTTTGATAAAGCACCCACCCCCTCTGACCTTGTCCTAGGAATTAACATTCCCAAGTTGAATCAAGGGCCTGGTGGGGCCTAATGACAAGGTTCCCCTGGACAGTGAGGGAGGAAGATGGGAAGCGACAGCTGGTGTGAGCCAGCGTCCGTGGAAGAGGGTTGGGTAGCTCTGCTCTAATCTGCTCTGTGAATCCATATTCCAAATGGGTGTCCCATCCAGGCCTGGCCCCTCCCCTGCCTTAGTATCCTGCCCCCCTCCGCCCTACCCTGTTCCCCGAACCATGCTTCCCCACACATGCCCTCAAACACAGGCACAGTCACAGCAGGTCCTTAGCCCCCAGCACCTCGTGGACTCCAGGCCAAAGAGCTAGCTCTCCCTAGAAATTTCTGTAACCCAACTTTTTTCTTTCCTACCCCCAACCTGCCTGTAGTATTCCTATGAAGGGATGGAGATCAACAATCTGCCTGTGGAGTTGACAGTTGTGTGGAACGGGCACTTCAACATCGACAACCCAGCTCAGAACAAAGGTGTGGAAGGTGGACCCCAGGGGCAGGGAGATAGGGCAGAGGGAGGGGGAGGGCCTGCATTCGAGGGCACACATTATTCCATCCCTGCCCCAGTGGTGACCCTCTCCCTCTGGCTCGGAGCTTGCCCTCTATGCAAGTGCACTGCTCCGTGACCTCTCGGGTGCAGGGCCACCATGGGCAGGGGTCCTGGGTGTGGCGGAGTGAGCAGGACTGGCCACAAGAGCCCTGATGATTCTGGAGGGAGACCCACTTCTGATTAAGTTTCGCTGCCTGGGGCCCAAGTTCTCTTTTGCTCTTCTCTGTGTCAGAATGGCTAAAGGGACACGGCTGCTTGGGTCTCATCATCCGAGGCTGGGACTGCACTCCTTGTCCACAGTCCCATCCCCTCCCGCTTCCCCTCTGCCCTTTGCCCGCAGTTCACCTCTATAAGTGCGGAGCCATGCGGGAGAGCTGCGGGCTGTGCCTGAAGGCGGACCCGGACTTCCAGTGCGGCTGGTGCCAGAGTCAGGGCCAGTGCACCCTGAGGCAGCACTGCCCCGTTCACGAGAGCCCGTGGTTGGAGCTGTCGGGCACAAACAGCAGGTGCACCAACCCCCGCATCACAGAGGTAAGCCATGGTCCTCTGGGCCGCTCCGGGTGGCCGAGCCGTGCCCTGCCATGGCCTGGGGCCTCACCAGCCATGCCCCGCCGTCGTGTCAGCCACCCCAGTGATTACCAGGGCAGGCTGGGGGCATCCTCGTTTTCCTGCCCGGCTTCTGCAGAAGCTGTGGGTTTGGTCCAGGGGTGTCTCCCTTATCAAGGAAGGTTGAACACAGAGAAGGGCTCCACTGTCCTGTTGGAGTCTCCATGTTAACAGTATCAAAAATGACTCTAAGTCCTGGCCACTCTCCCTTTGTCTCTCAGAATCTGGGTGATGAGGCTGTTAAGCTCCATCGGGGACAACCTCACCGATCATTCAGCCATGAGCAGAGGGTGCATGGGGTTCCAGGGCACAGAGCCCAGCCCTCAGGAGGTGGAGAAGGTGGAAACGGTGAGACCTTGGGACTCACTCAAAGCAAGACCTAAGCCGGTAGATGGCAGAAATGGATTTGGAGCACAGTTCAGGGGACATAGGCCATGGAGCAAAGACCAGTGAGAGGCAAGGAAGAGCTAAACGTGCCGAGAACAGGGCTTGCATCCCAGCTCTGCCAGCCAGTTGCTGGGTATCCCAGGGCTAATTTATCACTACCTTCGTGCCTCAGCTTCCTCACGTGTGCAAGGGGTCTAAGGTTCCATCTCACAGAGGAGTCACAAGGATTGTCTGAGATCCGAACCATGCAAAATGCTGGCTCTGTGCCCAGCCCACAGGGGTCTCACCATCCTCCTCCTCGTCCATCATCAACGTTGTTAAAGCTGTTGCCATCCATGTCTACACCGAGGGGTTCACTGCCCCTGGGGTTTATTTAGGCCACTGGTGTCTTCATCTCCCCACTCCCCACTCCTGGCAGAGAGACCCCTCAGGCATCACCTCCCACCGTGTTCCCCTGGTACAATAAAGAAGGGGCGTGCCTGTCTCAACAGCGCGACCCTCTGGGCCTCTAGCACAGCGTTTGTACATTATAGGTACTCAACGCCCCCTTGCTCTAGTGGCTGCTGATTTTAATAACCAAGCAGAGAGGGGCAGAGAAAAACACAGGAAAGGGAGTTCTGTCTCGCCTCCATACATAGTAAGGATAGACAGGTATGTGGCTCTGTGCAGAGTTTCACAAACACACACGTATCCAATAGCCTGACCGTGGCAGTTACCATAATAGGCCAGATGTTGGTGTGGTCCTTCACAGTTTGCGAAGCAGTTTCCTGTCCCTTGCTTTGTCCGTGCTCACAGCGACCCCCCCACATGGTTCCTGGGGCTACCACCACACAGTACCGCAGACGGAGGGGCTCCAGAGACAGATATTTGCTATCTCTCCGTTCTGGAGGCTGGAAGTTGAGACCCAGATGTGGGCAGGACCGGTCCTTCGGAGGGCTGTGCGGGAGGACCTGCCCCAGCCTCTCTCCTGGCTTTTCTCCCTGAATTTTTCTCATTGTCTTTCTGCGTGTCTCTGTCCAAATTCCCTCTTCATATGGGGACACCCACCAGCCATGCTGGATTAGAACCCACCCTAATGACCTCATTTCAACTTGATTACCTCTAGAAAGACCTTTTCTCCGAATAAGGCCACGTTTGGAGGTACTGAGCATTTGGACTTCCACAGGTGGATTTGGAGAGGACACATTTCAAGTTATAATGCTTGCCAAAGCCAGGGTTATCAGCCCCCTTTCCCAGATACAAAGAGTAATGCCCAGAGATGCTAATGCCCTCACACCAAAGCATAAATCAAACAGTCCCTGAATCCCTGGTCTCTGGATTCCTAGATTAGCGCTCTCTCTCACCACAAAGGCAAGAAACCCATAGAGATACTCCCTCACCCCTCCACTCACAAGCTGTGCACACCTACAAGGGATGGAGAAAGGCAGGTAGGGAGCTTGACCTTTGCGAGTGCGCAACCTCCTCCAGCATAGTGGCCCCACGGTGGTGGCCCTCTGTATGTGCCCCCCCCCCTTCAGTCCCTTTGTCCTCCGCGTTCCTGGTTTTCCAGACACGGGGAGTCTCCCTCAGACTCTACTTCAGTCTCCTGCATGGGTAGGAATCTCAACAGCAGTTCTCGAGTTGGGGCAAAACACATGCATTTAACCTGGGGAAGGAGGGCACCTGAGCCCTACGCGCCCCAGTCCCCCTCCTTTACAACTTCCCCCACCCGCAGAGCCTTTAACGCAGAACCACCCCCGGGGGCCGCCACACGTGACTGCTAACCGTGTGTCTGCAGCAAACAGTACGACTCGCTTCCTTCTTGGCCTGAGACCAAGAAAATCACAGGGAGGAGATGGCAAATTAAACAAATCTCCCTGTGACGGAGGCTATTTACTGGCTCCATACTGGCGTCAGCCCTCCGGGGAGCCCGGGGAACGAAGGACTGGGCCAGAGATAAAGCTCCTTTTTCAGGACAACACTCCAGGGCTGGAATATCATGAAGCCACTCCTGCCAGGTGCCAGTGGGGCTTTGGGGACTGGCTGGACATACCCTCCGCCTTCCAGCCCTCCCTATATCTGCCCGCCTCCCTCTCACAGAAACGGCCCCTGCCTCCGAGGGGTCTGTCTTTCCACTACGGTGGGAACATGCATTTGAAAACCCTCACACTCACGTGCACGCTCACTCGTGCACATGTGCACGCATGGGTAAGAAGCAGGAAATATCTTAACTCGTAGGTGAACAGACTTCCCCAGCAAAGCCGCCCCTCCAGCCTGGTTTCTCTCACCCTCCTCCAGGGTGGAGCCCCCAGTTGTGGCCCTTGGGGGTGGAGAGAGTAGGAAACATTAAGAGGTGGGCCGTCTGGGCTCCTTCAGTTGCAATCCCATTGGTGTTGGCCAATATCCAGTTGCTGGTGTTCAGAGACACCAGGAATGGGAAATGTGCCCTTCTCTAGTCTTTCAAATGCCAGGAGAGGCTGGCACAGAATGTCTTCTGCCACTAGGGTCACTGCTGCGGGATGTCATAATTAGATCGCATGAACTGTATGGGGCACCTACCTCAAAGCAGGCCCTTGGTTGTTGGTTCCCAGCGTCAAATCATGGGTTTTTAACACCAATGGTGACATCTTGGAAGGAAAAGCCAGTCATTTTGGCCAGTATATGAGGGTAAAGTCTAAATTAATCCCATCTCTGGTAGAAACCAAGCCAGACAATGAAGGCAAAGGGCTTGTGACAAATGCTCTTCTAAATCCAGGAAGATGCTTGGGTAGTTGTGGTTTTCAGCCCAATGACAACTTGAGAGATAAATATAGTGCCATCACTGAGAAGTCCATGGGAAGTAAGACATCATCCCTGAGCTCAGAGACATAGGATCTGAAGGATGAGGAATCAGACACCAGTGATTGTTACCATGACAGTGGAGAGAGAGGGGACAACTGGTTATGGGGAAGTGACATTTGAGAAGGATCTTGAAAACTTGGTGGTTTGCCAGAGCGTGGAGGGCGGTGGGCATCAAGAGGGTTGTTCATTTGCCTTCAGAATGAAACAACACAAGCAAATGCCGGGAGGCTTTATTCCGTGACTTTCTATGAATCACCCGAGAACGGTGTATATCATGTTCCATCCCCTCATCTCTTCCACAAAATAGGAAGGTGAATGAGGGGATTTGAACACTGCTCCTAATACCACACCCAAACACGGACTTCTCTACCCGAAGTTCCTGCCATTAAGCGTCCCAGACCTGGGTGCCCTCGTGGACAGGGGCCCAACTCAGGGAATGGGGCAGAGATGGGGAAGAGCTAGAAGCCTCTCCTTGCCCCACCAGCAAGTGGGTAATGGCTCTCTCTCGGTGCCTGTCAAATTACCGCGCTTCCTCCCTCCAGATAATCCCAGTCACGGGTCCTCGGGAAGGGGGCACCAAGGTCACCATCCGAGGGGAGAACCTGGGTCTGGAATTCCGGGACATCGCCTCCCATGTGAAGGTGGCCGGTGTGGAGTGCAGCCCTTTAGTGGATGGCTACATCCCTGCAGAACAGTAAGTGGAAGCCACACGAGACAGCTCTCTCTTGTTGTTGACCCCCCTTCCCTGGCCAACAATTGACAGCCAATGGCAAAAGGTGCTAGAGACCCTTGGGGTGGGGGAGTAGAATGCCCCTAATATTCTAGTGTACTCCCCGCCCCTGAACTAGCTAGCTACCATATTGGCAAGTGTAGAAAGCGGAGGGGGACATGGGGCTGGGAGGGAAGAGAAAAGTGATCACTACCTCCTTGGGGTGTGACTGTGGGTAGTGGTGAGACAAAGCAAAATGAAACTCTGCAAGAGAAGTGTGAGTTCAGTTCCCGACCCCCTGCAGTCCCTAACTCCCCACTCATGTCCTCCAATTATGAAAGAAGCTAAACCTCTGGTCCTTTCTGTGGAGACTGAAAATGAAACCCCATACCCACTCTCTGGCCTGTGGGCATTTTGGATTGTTTTTTTCTCCATGCAGTTTGCTGGTGCCTGGAGTGGGTCATTCCATGATTGACCTTTACCTCCCAATCCACCTGTTAGAGGACGTTTGTGAGTCATGTATCATTGCCTTGGGAATAAGTAAGCACAGTTCTCCAGCCCAGCAGACTCTCCCATGAAATGTTTACCAGCACGATAGAATCTATCTTCTATGCCATCTTGCTGCCCCTCCCAGAGTGACACCTTACCACCTGTCCTGTGTGCGTGAGTTACTGACCCTTTGCAGGTCTCCCATGGGTATGTCAGTGCGGTTTACCTGTCAGCTTGCTGGTCTTGCGCAGGTTTCGTGATTCTGGAACCGTCAGTACCACCATCCTCACTTCCTCCTGATTTCCCTCCAGATCTTCCTAAAGCACTCTTAGTAGATGCTATGATAGAAGGATCTATTCTTGATAGAACTCACCTCATGGCCCGTCACTGCTTATTTGCCCAAAGATCTTTCTGTGGCTCCTTCAACTTTCTGAGTCCTTCCTAGAACAAAACCAAAAGCAAGCTGCTACTGATATATTGTGATTTGGGGAACTTTAAAGTGTCCTACTCTGGACCTGCAAAGCCAGAGAGAAAATATATTACTATAAAGTCACATGATTGAAATATTGTGGTACTAGTTAGATCAGTGGAATAAGATAGAACACCCAGGAAAAGAATCCTGATACATAAAAAGTCAGCGATGTGATAAAGGTGACATTTCAAATCAGCAAGGGAAGCAGAGATCATTCAATAAGTGGTCCTCATTAACTCCCTGAAAGAAATATACACCAGACTCTTATTTCACATTATACGCCAAAATAAATTCCAGACGGATTAATGAATTAAGTGACAAAAATAAATCTGTGGAATGACTAGAAGAAAATGCAGGTGAGAATTTATTTGATTTCAAATAAGGGAAGTATAACTGTGCTAAGCATAACAGCAAAAGAAAAAAATTATAAAGAAAAAGATCAGGGGATTGGAGTATATAAAACTTAAAATTTGTTCATCAAAAATCAAAGAAAAATATGAATGATAAACTGGGACTATTGTTATAACCAATTAGAGTTAATACATGCTTTTTCTTAACATACAAAGAGGTTCCATTAAAAAAAAAAAAAGTAAATATCAGAAAATGAGCAAAGAGCATGACTGTGCAATTCACAAAGTAGACAAAGAACCAAAAGCCATATAAAAAAGTTAAAATCATTAGTAATCAATGAAATGAAAATTAAAATAATGGGGAACAATTTTTAAAAATCAATGTCCAGTGCAGATGAGAAGCAGGAGAAATAACATATTCATACATTCATATTGAGAATGTAAATTGGGACAAATTTTGTGGAAAGAAATTTAGAAGTGTGGATTGAAAGTCTTCAGTCTGGTCATAATATTTCTAGAACTTTACTTAAATAACCAGAATGCACAAATATTTATTTGCAAGAATACTTATTTTGGCCTTATTTTTAACAGTGGAAATTTGGAAGCAATTTGTGTATTTTAAAATAGGGAATTAATCAATCCCATCAATTATTGTACATGCATAGGCAGGTAACTATATAGCCATGAAATCTGATATTACAGAAGAATCATGACCAGGTGTATACTCAAGGTGTATTAGTGAGAACATCATTTACCAAGCAGACTCGAGTTTCTAATTAATTCTATAAAAGATAAAGAAGACTGAAAACATGTACATCAAAATGCTGACAGCAGATACTTCTGGATGGTTGAAATGGGGTGGGAGGAGGTATATGTATGGCAAGTGTTTTCATATACTTTCTATCTTTTCATACACTGGACATGTGCCAGGTATGCTATCTGGACAGAAAGGCATATCTTTTTACTGGACTCTCACCCAGAAGTTCTTTTTTTTTTTTTTTTTTTTTTTTTTTTTTTTTTTT